TCCACTCACCTCAGCCTCTCAAAGTGCTGGGATTACAGGCTGAGCCACCGAGCCCGGCTATGTGGTTACTTTTAAATGTCCTGGTCTGGCTTCCAAAAAGGGAAAAAGACAAAGTAAAAGAGGGGGAGGGGAGAGGTACTGGCTCTTTAAATCTTAAAAAGTTACTTCAGTCTCAGGAGGAAGGGGCTTGCAACAATGGCTGCTACCAGGTTAAAAGCTGAAATTAACTTTTCAAACCTTCCTCTGAAAGCAGGAAGCCTTCAATAGTCTTCAGAGTTCCAAAACAGTTATATCAAGTAGATTCTGCCAATGCAATGGTTGCCTAGGTGAGAAGAGAGATTCCTGGTGTTCCCTACACTGCCATCTTCCCTCTAGGCTCCACCACTAATTCGTTTAAAAAAATTTCTCAGTCCCTCTCCTCCTCAGGTCTTAAATATCACCTCAAAACTGCCACCTCTGCTCCAAAATGGACTACTCCTCCTTTCCCTCTATAGCACTATATAAGGGAGGACCCCCCAAAACCTGGAATTATCTTTTTGGAGGGTGGATCCCGTGTAGGCTTCCCCTTCCAGCTAAGTGTTCTAGGAACCCATTTGCATGGGTGTTCTAGGAACCCATTTGCATGGGAACCCATGTACCAGCTAGCGTTGTTGTGAGAAATGTATTGTGCATTTGGCTCCGATACATTTCTTTTTTTGGAGACTGTTTCAATGCATTTGCCCATTTCATGATGGGAGATTTACCCACACTGTTCTCAGTGTTTAGCAGTTTTTGATCAAAAGTGGCATGACCCTCATGCCCTACCCTTCCCCTATTCACCTGCTCTCACCCTGATCCCAAATGAAAAAGTTCCCAAAGAAAAATATTTTGCCTATGTGGAAGAGGTAAAACAAAAAAATGGCAGAAGCACTAAAAGGCATCAAAATTGGGGAGTTCAAAAACTGTTTGGAGCAGTGGATGAAGCATCTCGACAGGTGTATAGTATCAAATGGAGAGTACTTTGAAGGTGACTGCACTCAAGACATCTCGCCAATCACCTACTAGCAATTTGACTGCATTTTAAATGAAATAGTGAAAAATGAATCACTTCATATAAACAGTACAACATTGGAGACAATTATTTTATTGTAATGATATTTGGCTTATAATGGAATTCAGAACATTGAGGAACTTATTTACGACAAAAAAAATCAAAAATTTTTTATCTCTTATTTTTCTAACATGTGGTAACAGTCACCAACATGTATTGCAGGTTCACTGGCACATACTGTGCAATAGTAATTTGTTTGACATCTTCCATCTGGTGTTTTTCTGTTTTTACCAATGTAGTCTTGTTTTTGTCCTCTCACGTTAATAATATATAATTTATTATCCAGTCTGTTGTTCGAAGATGATGTGGAAGGACACACTTGTGATTCCTGAAAATCACTTTTCAATTGATTGATCAGAAGCTTGACAAATTTCAGACGAAAGTCTTTTCATTTTTAAAAAGATGCATGGTATAGTATATAAGAGTTAATAATGCATATTTCTAGTCCCCCCAAAAATAACTTCCTCCACCATTGAAAAGATTTTCACAAAAAACAATATGTAGAAGCATATTGATCCACACCACTCATATGTGTAATATAATTTAGAATCATTTCAGAGGCGAGGCTGGGTAGCTCAGCCTGTAATCCCAGCACTTTGGGAGGCTGAGCTGAGTGGACTGCCTGAGCCTGCGGGTTCGAGACCCACCTGGGCAACTTGATGAGACCTCATCTCTACAATAAATCAAAAATTAGCCCGGCGTGGTAGCGCACACCTGTAGTTCCAGCTACTTGGAAGGCTAAGGCAGAAGGATCACAGGAGCCCAGCAGGTTGAGGCTACAGTGGCCGGGAGCGGGCACTGCACTCCAGTCTAAGTGACAGAGTGAGACTCCAACTCAAAAAAAAAAATAATAATAATTTCAGGCTTTTTGACTGATATAATATTTCCACCATGTAATGCCCTATGGTAGATTTCATTCCTACATGATTCTGAGTGCTGAGAATTGTAACAATGCTTTTGTCCTTCCATGCTAGAAGTGTATTATTTTTCCTATATATATATATTTTCCAATATATAAATAATAAATATATATACATATATATATATATTTTCCTATAAATAAATAAATAAATAAATATATATATAAAACCTTGGCTTCTTGAGTTGTGCTGGTATTCCCTTTTGGTTGACTTTGTACCAGTAAGATGACAATTCATCTTTAGCAACTCTTCTGCTAGGATAATACTAGTGAAAAATCTGTCAGTAAACATGTGGTTTCCTGCTGCATTGGGAACTTTTTCCAACAACTTTTTATATAAATGTAATGGAATTCTGGCACTTACTG